TCCTCCGCTGCCCCTTGGCCACATGTCTTGCTGGTACCTCCAAGATCACGTCCTGTGTGAGCCTCTGTTCTCCCCAGAGGGCCCTCCATGCAGTCTCCACACGGGTAGCTCCTGCCCATTTGGATGCAGCTCACAGGTCGCTCTTCAGAGAAGGGCCTCTGTTGACCCCACGTCGTGGCATTGTCTTTCCACATGATCAAGAGCCACTATTCTAGTGGGGCACAGAGATTGACAGAGCAAGAAATGGAAGAAATATGACAAATGACTCTCCCTTTTATTTTGTAATACTAGGGGTTGAACCCAGAGCTTTTGCACTAAGATACATCCCCAGGTGTTTTTGTATTTCAGTTTCAGCGAATTATTAATAACTATATATCTGGACATGATTTTAAACAAAGAATGATATTAGGATCTCTCTAATTTGCTGAGTTGCTGAAACTAGGCTTGAACTTGCATCCTCCTTCCTCAGCCTCCTTGCAATTACATGTGTCCACCAGTGTGCCCAGCAGGAAGGGACTTTGGATAGCATGAGTAGCTTCATGTATGTGTATTCGGTGTTTCTTGGGAGCCTATAGGCATATGTGGGCCAGCAGGGGTTTTATACATATTTGTTAAATGAATGAATGAAGCTCTAGCTATGAAGCCCAAGATTCAAAAATTACTTTAGGACAAATAATAGTGTAGATAGTATACTTTCTGTGTTACTAATGTGCTGGTAAAATTCTTCGAAAATTTAAAATTATCCAGTAAGTCATAGAAATCAATACCATTGTGTAAACATTATAGCTATATTTTCATTCATTTTAAATGTCCTGGTGTATGTTATTACTATTGTTTTAAAACAAAAGACGATACTTTCTACTTTGTTCTTCAGAGAAACACAAATCTGTGTGCAACTCCCAATCTTTAAGAAGTCACAGAATATCTAAGTGCCTGCCTGGAGAACACAAAGACCCAGGTTTGAAACCCAGGTGCTCAGTGCTGGCCCAAAACTGGGTGTGGTGGTGCACCTGTGGTTCCAGCACTGGGGAGGCTGAGACAGGAGGATCACTACAAGTCCAAGCTGGGTAGTGTGACCCTGCACCAAATAAATAACTAAATAAATAAATAAATGCTTCAAAAATTAAAAAGCAAAAAAAAATATGATTTATCATCCTCCACCTTATCCATTGGATCTGGTACTGGTTCTCCCCTAATGTCAGAATGACTATGAAAGGTAAATGTTTTGAGTTGATTGAGGACACCAAAACAGCCACGATAATCCAATTAAAAGTAGCAATGAAAGAAAACTTCTAGAACTGCTTCAGAAAGCAGCAAGAGTAATGGGACAAGTGTATTTCTTGCCGGGGGGAGAATTTTGAGGTCAGTGAGTGGCAGTGCTTCTTCTACTGTAGTACATTTTATAAAAGTATTTGGTACAGGGTCTCACTACGCAGCTTGGACTTGTAGTGACCCTCCTTTTTTT